GGGAAAGAGAAGTCACATTGAGTTGAATCCAACCCCATATGGAAAACCCTCCCATGTAGATCACTTGTACGTAACTCTGATTCCTTCTCCGAGAGCCCTTTGATGACAGAGGCCAAGGGCCCACACACGTGGAGTGGCGGTCACTGAAAGGAGGAACTGGTAGCGCTTGGTGCCGAGCAGTCCTGCCGCGTCCCAGGACTGAGTTGGGCGCAAAAGCCATCCGGACGGTTTTCACTGTACGGAGCCCACAGCCTGAAGCCGTCCCGGGTGAGACCACCATTCAGTGCGATGGCCTTCTCCAGTGGCCCCGTGGTATTCACAGCTATGCCTAGCAAGGGCTAGACACGCTGAAAATCAGCTCTTAGGAAAAGCCTCCCACACACCCCTTCTAAAAACTCAGCCCCAAGACTAAAACCTGCTACAGTTGTCTTGGCCAGGGTTTTCTCACACTACCATCTCGATGTGGGTTGGGTTCATTTTAGTTTCAGATCGACAGTTTTACCAAAGAACTCTTGAACGTATACATACTGCTTAGAGAGGGGGAAGGGAAGTAGGAGCTTAGGGTATATCATAAGGCTGGGAAAAATCTATGATGCAAACTTTTTCCACATAATACTAGGTAAAGATAAAAGACAACTATAGAAGCATAAAAATAACTGTCTACGTGTGTATCATTTAAGAAAAGAGAGCTTACAATCTCCTTCTCTTAAATGTGTCCGAGGACCAACAGCAAGTAACCGTAGATGTCATGGTGCCGACGGATGTGTTCACGTTTGTTTTCCAAAAGCATCTTCAAATATTGCTATAGTTCCCCATTTTCCCCTCCCCCCGCCCCACGTGAGTACGTGAGATACTGGAATGACACATGAAACGCCATTTCTCCCAGCAGGAGAAATGAAAGCAAACACACCACACCCCTTGAACGGTGCTCAGGCAATTTTTGTCAGACTAATGAGCACATAGGTCTAGTTTGGAAGCTAAAAGAACACCTGACGTTTGGGAAGAAATTCCAAGACTAAAGTGATTACACTTGAGCAAAATATTCTTTCACAAATAGGCTTGTGCTTAAATTGTCTACTGCTCTTGGAGGAGGGGGTGAGAGAGGGTGCCTCCTGCCCCTTGGCTTGGCAAGGACATGGACAACCTCATTCTGCAATGAATTCACTACAAACGGCCACATACACATCGATACTTTTTTTTTTTTTTCCTCAACAATCAAAATACAAAGTTAAACACAATTGAGCCATTGTTTTGGTTATGCATAATGTGTATGCCTCCAAAAACAGAAGAAAAATAGAAAAAAGTACCCTCACTAAAGTTTCCCCTAGGTCTCCCAGCGGCTCCTACGTAGGGACTGAGGGAGACTCAGGAAAAATAACACTTAGAAAGCTGCCCGATGAGGTATTTATGCAAAAAGAGTGGTTCTGGAGTTAAGAACACACTTTTATAAGATATTTATCTATTTCTCAAAGAGATCAGAAAAGTAAATCACACACATTGCATTTTATTATTTTCTAAAAGAGGCCTTTGCTCCTTTAGAAAAAGGAAATGAGGGGAGACAGCCCACGGTGGGGTTTGAATTGGAAGAAATCCCCTGCCAGAAACAGTCCTGGATGTTTACCTCTGTCTTTCAGGAGGGAAGTCTGAATTTGACCTTGGGGGTGGGGTGAGGGTGGGGGACTGAGGTGGGCTCAGTCAGGTGACAACACAAAAAGTGTCACCCAGGTTCCACAGCTGTGGATGGCTTTTGGGGTGTCAGATGTTTGGGGAGACAGAGGGAACAGAGCACTTCAAAAAGACATCCTTATTCCCATCTACACCCTGAACAAGTATGCTGGAAGTTTTCAGGTTCAGGTAATGAATTTGACCTGTGTAGGGGTGTAGATCTTTTTTTTTTTCCCCTCAGGTTCTCTCATCAGCAACCCAGAGGAATATAATGCACCAGTTAATTTTCACCGTCCTGGCTGATGGAGCTTCTGACAGTGCCTGGTGCTGGCAGACAGGCTCCACGATGGCCCACCCTGTCCTATTTTAAAAATCAAGATCACCCCAGTTCCCTCCCTCTCCCTCACCATCATATCTTGAGCCATGGGAGTGGGCATTTTTGTTTATGTTTTAAAATTCCCTTCCATGTGGGTGGAAGATCAAATTCTTTTAGAGGGTTCTCTGGATCTCCCCAAATCATTTCTTTTAGGCAAAGATAACAGGAGTTTCTGGTCTGCGTGGCATCATCTGGTTGTCTAGATTCAGCGCTCACAATCTAGGTGGGGCTTCATTCCAGGTTGGCTCGTGTGCCCAGGTGGTAGAGACGGCCAGCCCCTCCTTCCCACCATGAGATGGCGTCACGGGAAAACATCTGGGGCTGGTCCTTCTAACACCCGTGTCACTTCCTCCTTCACGTGTACCCTAACTCACACCCTCATCCAATAAGGCCCATTAGTGTGTTTCCCCTTCTCCTGGTGAATTTGCATAATTAGTCACTGCCTTTTTCCTCGAAACCAAATCATGGTCATGGTTTTCTCAAGTCAGCGTCCCATAATTCTCTTGATTCTATCATACACACTCACTACTAAGTTTGCCCTCAAATTATTGCGTCATGGTAAACATGTACAGACAAAGAGAAAGGACACACTTTTCAACAGAGAATCAGAGGGGGTCGGGGCTGAAGTGCAGACAAGGCAGTGCAGAGCTCCACCATCCAGGCCCTACCAGAACATGAAGAGATTTTGTATTGCAGAGCGAGCTCCCCAGCAGTCAGAATTTGTCCCTGAAGAAGATTAAACCTTAAACACCTGCTTCAAAAAACAAAAACAAAATAATTGGAAAAAAGGGGGGGAAAAAAACAACGAAAAAAATTAAAGGAAAGGAAAATAAAAGGAAAAAAAGAAGAAAACCAAAAGAACCTCTAAGCCTAAGGGCTTAAAAATTAGAGGCATAGCCTTTTCTCTATTTTCTATATTTATATGAAAATAATTCATGCTTCATGCTAAATACATTGTTTACCTTACAAGAACTTTATTTTTGAATAAAAAAAAGTTTGTGTTTTTGTGATTTTTTTTCTTTTTTTTTTTCTTTTTTCAAAGGAATTCCATGCATTGTGGATCAGAAATTTCTGCTGGCTACACTGGCTGAATGTGTAAATCATTGATTTTCGCAAAGATGAACCTTGACTGACATTAATTGCAAACTCCATTTTGAGGGCAGTATAGGAATTTGTTTTCCTTTCTTTTTTGCCACGTTTTACTTTAGTTGTCCATCAATGTGCCTTTCATCTTTTAAAAATACACCACAATACTAATGGCAGGTTCTGTAGCTTTTTGTTTTGTTTTGTTTTCACTTGGATCAAATGGTTTTGACAGACAGAAAAAGATTTGTACCATGATTTCCTTTGTTAACAGCTACTGTAATTTTTTGGAACTTGATTTTCACTTGGGCAGTTAAGAAGACAGCTTGTTTTTTGCATCAGTTTCTCTCTCTCTCTCTCTCTCTCTGTGTGTATGTGTGTGTGTGTGTGTGTGTGTGTGTGTGTGTGTGTGGTGTGTCTGTGTGTGCACGTGCGTATGTGCAGGACCAACCTTCAGGCTTATGGCTTGTGGAACCTTTTCTTCATTTAACGTAGAACAGAATTCAATGATAAGCAACATCACTAAAAACTGACCCAGTTTCTTCTCATGAGTCACTGACACCTGTTGAACATGAATGGCCCAGTGTCCACCCCGGAAGATGCTACTAGGCTTCACGGTTAAGAAGCACAGAGGACTGGTGAGACCGCCTACCCACCCCTGCATCGCACGCTTGGGGCAATGCCAAGGGTTTTCTGGCACAATTTGATGCCCAGTGCCACGAGCTTGGGTCTGCTCCTTCCTTCTCCTCAGTTGCCTTATGTGCATTCACTCAGCGAACCCAACTGGGTGCACATCCTGACCTTTTAAACCTAAAGGTTGGGCCTGATCGATGGTTACTTTGCACACGTGCCTTCTAAGTGCCAGACGTGTATCCCCGTGGCATTATCGTTGCCATCCCTGTGGATTCAGCCACGGGTTTCTGACAAGCTGGAGGAAGCAACGGTAATTTTGGCTTTTTCGGTTTTGTCTTCAGATAATGAAAAGCTTTTGTAAAACAGCTGAGTGTCAATATGAGTTCTATGGCTTCAATCTCCTTTAAACATAAAATTCTTAAGGGTCCGAAACAAAGGAGGGGGGCAAATTAAAAAAAAAAGAAAGAAAGAAAGAAAGAAAACCAAACCAAAAAAAAAGAAAAAAAGAAAAAAGAAAAAAGAATAATAAATCGCTGATATTGCCACAAATCATTAGAAATCTCCTGACATGCTGAAACCAAATGGCCGTAAGTTCAAAACAAATCAGTGACTTGTTTTTAATTTTTTGCGGTTTCCTTTTGTTCTTTCTGCCCCTTTGCCGTCCGATTGGTGATGTTATTCAAACAGGACCGAATCCCCGCCAAGTGCAGGAGTGACCCCGCCGCCTCTTTCATCTCCTCGTCATCGCTCTCGGGGGGCTTTTCCGTGCGTCTCTTTTTGAGGGGCAGCGTGTCGCTGGGGACCTTCCTTGCCTTGGCGAGGTGCTGGCGCTTCTTGTGCTGGGACGCGTAGCCGCTGTCCCCCAGAGCATCCTTGGCCTCCTTCGGGCTGCGTTTCCTGTCATCCTCCTCCGTCTCGCTGTGGCTCTCGTGGCTCTGGAAGCTGCCCTCGCTGCCCTCGCTGCCCTCCTGGCTCCCCTTGGTGGCAAACTCGTAGTGATCGTCGGCCGAGGAGGAGGAGACGGAGTCGCTGGCGGGAGAGGTGCTCCTGGCGTTGGAGGACTTGGCACTGCTGTAGTTGTGATCCTCCTTGGGGTCTCCACTGACCACCGGGGAGCCACACGAAGGCTCGCTCTCAGTCCGCATCCGGCAGCTGGTGAGGCCATTCCTGCGGGGCGGGGACAGCGGTGGGGAGAGGGGCGGGGAACGGGAGACAAGAGAGGACACGGAGTAAACCTCTGTGACGAGACACCCAGCAGCCCACTGAGTTGCCACAGCAGACGCTTTGGCATCCAATTCGGAGATGTGCCAACAGGTGGGTCTGCTTTGAAGACAGGGTCCTAAATCCTGACACCTCCGTCTTCCCTGCTTATCTCCTATCACTGACATTTTCACTCAAGTTGTGCAGCTGAGACATGAAAACAACACTCTTTTGAAGTGACGGCGGTGGAAGCGCCATCTCTTCTATCAAACCATAAAAATCAAGCTGTGCTTGGTTTCACATACCCATCAACACCGCAGAGGAGACACCACTGGGCGATGCTGGCTGGGTACTTCAGAGAAAAAAGCCCGCTCTATTCTAAAGCGGCTCTGGTAGGAGCCTTTTGTGGGAAGACTAAATCTGATGTCCAGGAAAAAGAGATACCTGTCATGTGGTGACAGCTACTCACTCCCGCGTCCCTTCCCTCATTCATTCATTCCACAAATATTCACTGCACACCTAAAATAAATGCACGGCCTTAGGGAGGGTCCCGGGGGGAGGCATCCGAGGTGGAATCAAATCCAGACTGTCACAAAAATGTGCACAGATGAACAGAGAAGCAAGTCATGGTTAGATCACAGACGAGACAGCAATAAGCTACCATCTACTAAACTTACCACCTGCCAGGCGCCCTGCTGCGTCTGCACAGATGATTGCGTTTAACTCTATAAAGTGGTTATAAGAGCATCCTTATTTTACGGATGCTGGAAGTGAGGTCTGGAGATGTCTGGTAATTTACTTAAAGCCACACCAGCTAATGAGTAGCAGAGTTGGGATGAGAACCGAAGTCTTAAGCTTGAGCTCTTCGTAACATCATCAGACCGACTCTCACTCTTTTCTGATTTCCCTATAACTAGGTCACCTGCTATATATTCCCATCGGGACCCGATAGCACCCATCACACCTCTGATCATGTTATCGTGTCCACATGTCCGAGCAGTGAACTGACCTCCCCTGTGCTTCCTTACTGGCAAAGTGGGTATAGTATCTGCCCCCTGCTTCACAGGGTTGTTGGGCTGAGGATGTGGACGAACGCCTGCCGGCACCTGGACCAGCGCCTGGCATAGCAGCAAGGACTGTGATGCTTATTCCTGGTTCGGCCATACACTCTGTGGTATGAGCACCAATCCTGTCTGCACGGCGGCTGTAGTTCTGATGGTGCCTGGCACACAGAAGGTGTTCATAAGAGGCAGTGATCAGAGATGAATACACACAGGTGGGGAGGGTTACTTACAGCTGGAGGGGGCAGAGGGAGGGCACAAGGAGGTTTGTGGAAGACATGGCATCTGGTCTTGGATGTGACGGCCGGAGGTTCTGGGCAGGGGGGAGAATGTTCCACTGTACCATGTTGGCCCCATTTCCCGTAGACTCATCCACGGGTAATATATTTCTAGATCTTGGGAAGATGGGCACACTTTTCATTCCTACACAGCCCCAACTGTAAGCACCCTACGTTCCCTCCATAGACAGCACTTCCCACCATCACTATGATCGTGTGGTGATGTCGAGTGTCGGTGGTTCCCGTTAAAGAGTTAGCACCTCAAGGCAGGGGCCAGTCATTGATCTGTCCTCAGGGGCTAGCACTGTGCCAGGCATGGAGTGGACCCACAACAGATACACAGAGCAAGTGTCGGGGCAGATGGGATTGTTTGGAAGTCTGGGGAGATGGCTGTGGGTCTCCACCAGCACGTCTTCCCAGACACTCCCTGAGGAAGCGGCCCCGGCAGAAAGGCTATGGGGTGGGCCCTCCAATGAGAGTCAGTCTGGAGCCCCTTCCCTTTCTCTCCTGCCACCCCTGTGGGCCTCGAGGCTCAGGGAGATCCTGTTGCAGGCCAAAGAGAAAGGAAGAGGCGAGGAGAGTCCTTGGTGTAAACGGTGTAGCAGGCATCTCCTTCCTGCTGGTGCTCCGTTACATTTAAGCTGGTGGAACTTGAGGATACGGGGAGGGGGAAGGGTAAGCTGTGACAAAGTGAGAGAGTGCCATGGACATATATACACTACGAAATGTAAAATAGATAGCTAGTGGGAAGCAGCCGCATAGCACAGGAAGATCAGCTGGGTGCTTTGTGACCACCTAGAGGGGTGGGATAGGGAGGGTGGGAGGGAGGGAGACGCAAGAGGGAAGAGATATGGGAACATATGTATGTGTATAACTGATTCACTTTGTTATAAAGCAGAAACTAACACACCATTGTAAAGCAATTATACTCCAATAAAGATGAAAAATTAAAAAATAAAAGGATTAAAAAAATAAAGAGCCCAATGTTCAATTTTTGATTATCTGACAAAAAAAAAAAAATTTAAGCTGGTGGTGAGGAACGCCCCACCCCCGTAATGTGCACCAGCAAAATTCATGAGGGCCGTTATCAAAATTCCATCCTTGCCAGATGCCTTAAGATCATCACGATAAACCGTGACAATTACAATGTGTGCATCTGTATGATAAAGTCCTAGCAGGCTCCGGAAGGGTCCCAGCAACTATCTTGCACTCTGTGATCCCAGATCAACACCCCCTCCCCAAAGTCCTTATAGAAACAGCCTGCCTTTCAAGACAGACAGACTTTGGGGTTCACATCCCAGCACTGTTTATTAGTGAGACCTTCTTACAGGCTCCTCATCTGCCTTATGGGGCTACGTGACGATAAAATGAAAAGTTCCAAGCACAGAAAACGGCTCTTAGGGGTGCCTGAGAATTCTGACACGGTCCCCTCTCTTGCTGTCTGCCTGCCCAGAGCTCTCTCTGCTGCCCCAAGCGGTCCCATTTTCTTTCTAGGCCAGGTCAGCAGGCTGATGGGAACGCAGCATAAAGTAGGAGGGAAGAGGCTCGGAGACAGAAATTCCTCACGGGCTTGCCTGTACAGAGAGCCCCTGTGCTTTGGGGTATGGTCTCTGCGAGACGTTTTCTGCAGACTTCCTGTTTTTTGGCTGTGTCTTGGACGCACAAAAGTGACCAGGGAAAGATTCCTGTGAGGTATTACCAAACATGAAACTGGGTAAATGTAATAAATTGTACAGGTAGCTATGAAGAGGTATTAAAGTGAATGAAAATGAAGGGTTCTCAGGACTTCTGCTGTTACAGGTTAACTCCTGTGAAATCCCCAAATCATTCGTCTACTGAACTAACCTAAAAGGGTTCTGAATGAACCCAACTATACTTGGATGAGTTGACTGGGCTACGGTTGGCTTTTAGAAAATCAATTCAGTTCTGAATCCTTATTTTTGTTTTAACAGCATGGGCCTTATGATTCACTTCACTACCACAGTTAAGCAGAATGTGATACCTCTCTGAGCACGTATGAAGAGGGGGACGGAGCGGGAGAGGAGAGGGAGAGAATTCCGGGAGCAAAAGAGTAAGAAAAAGGCAAGTGTTGCAAAAACCTAATTCTCAGTGAATCTGGGTGAAAGGTATATATGGTGTTCATTGTGCTTCTCTTTCTTTATTTTCCACAGGTGAAACATATATATATATATTTTTCTTTGCGGTACGCGGGCCTCTCACTGTTGCGGCCTCTCCCGTCGCGGAGCACAGGCTCCGGACGCGCAGGCTCAGCGGCCGTGGCTCACGGGCCCAGCCGCTCCGCGGCATGTGGGATCCTCCCGGACCGGGGTTATGAACCCGTGTCCCCTGCTTCGGCAGGCGGACTCTCAACCACTGCGCCACCAGGGAAGCCCTGAAACATATTTTTAAGTAAAACGTTTGGGGTGCAGGGTAGAGGAGTGGGAGAAATACACCGGAATGAAAGCAACGGTACATTTCAGTCCCATGCTATCATAAGAGGGAACGTTCTGAGCCTGAGAACTTCTTTTTCTCTCTTTCTCTTTCAAGGATATAAGCAAGCATAAACCATAATGGAAAAGAATATTTAAAAATATGTATATGTGAGTATAACTGAATCACGTTGCTGTACAGCAGTAATTAACATAACGTTGTGAACCAACTATACTTAAAAAAAAAAAACCAAGGACATAAGCAAGCATGAGAGAAGCACTCAAGACACACCAGAAACACACTGAGACCTTCTTCTTAAAGGCATCATAGGAAGTGAAGGATAAGAGAGAAGCAATCACTTCCCTAGCTCATGAGTTCAAGGTTGTGCAGTGCAGGGTCTCTGGTTCCTCCTGGAAACACACTGCACGTCAACAGGGATTCCACAACCCACACCTTGCAGCGCTGGCCCCACACAACCACTTCACAGACAGACAAAAAGAATAAACTCGGGGAGCCCCGTGACTCATCTGAGGTGGCCCTGCTAGATCTCAAAGATGGCTCAGGCAGGAAACTTAAATGTCTGTCCCCCCCAGGAAGCAAGCTTACTGTGGTGAAGACAGGAAACTTACCATTTGACAATACTTCTGGATGAAAACAGGTACACAGATGTAACTTCACGGAGTCAGAATTAAAATATAAATACATCTCTCTCGCACTCGATATTGATACAATTAGTTTTCCCTGAGATTTTAGCATGG